TTGTCTGCTTGGGTAAAACCAAATTTATGTTGGGAAATAAATCAGCACTACTATTTTCAACTTATGTTGATCTTCGTAGCATCACTGTATAACTGATAATCTAAATGTGTTTAATAATGGTTGGGTTTTAGGTGAGTCTAATCAAGCTGTAACATATTTCGTTAGTGTATTCTCAGCAGGTTAACATCAATGTCAATGATTGAAGGAAGGTTCGGTCGAATCCACATTTTTATTAGAAATAGAATTATTGCAAAAGAAAATCGACGTATTTTTGCCCAGAACTATCTAGGTTTAGGTTGAAGAAAGTAAAAAAACAAAGGTATCGTTGATTTTGATCAATAGTCTCGGTAGATAGATTTCCAACAGTCTGATTTTCTACCAATTCTCATCTCAACCATGGACCATTTTCAGATGTACAATGACGGATGACATTATCTTCGTAGTACTGGCTGTATAATTGATCGTTTAGATTTATTCCAGAAAAAAAGTATAAGTCACTACTAGATTGATACGTAAATTAATTCTTATCCCTTCTTTTCTTTATTATCTAACAGCAGATGCTTTTGAAGCTAACTGCTGACAATCATGTCAAATTCTCGTTGACACTTATAATGACTGAAATTTTTTGTTGTAATTGTGAAAAGTCAAAACATTTCCTCAATCGATTGTGCAAGATATTTATTTCTCATTTTTGAAATTTAATCATGCAATATTGCATGATTTAAAGATTCAAAATAGGCTCTGTTTATAGTTTATATTTCCATTTTTTTCTCTAAAGTGTAAAGCGATGAGTCTGTTTTATTAGCAAAGGTATGTAGATACACTTACATCTCTGACAGTGAGGCTGTTGAAGAAGACTATTGGTTCTTAATTTAACAAGAACTAAGACGAAGGTTTTAAGAATCTTTTGTTTTATTGCTAATCGGAACAAAATTCAAGCATCGCTTTCGCAACTAGGTAATTGTCGGTACTGCTTTTGCGCAGTACCGAAAATTTCGGTTCGGTATCCTGTTAGGTATCGAATCGTTCGGTATCAGGGAAAGTACGGAAAAGTTCGATGCCTACGAAAAAAATTAAGGGACGAGAGTAGGCATACAACAATCCGATAGTTCGGTGACCGAGCGGTTCGCAACCGAACGTGTTCGGCATGGAAACTTGATGAGACCGAACGTGTTCGGACGAAGATTGCAAATACGACAGTTTATATTTTTCTCATCGAAGATATCAGCTAACGTTCTGTTGAGGAACTATTAGGAAAAATATCATAAACTTTATAAAGATTCATTCGAATCTATTTGTACAGCGAGGAAAAGCATTTTTGCATGAAAACAAAGTAAATCAATCTGCTACATTGGCCACATTAGTAAAAGTATGCTTTAGTTAGAGAGAAAATAAGATATAATGGAATCTAAAGGTACGTTGAACTTCCTGGCCTAAAACAAACATACAATTGGTGCATGCCTAGACGAGAGCCTTCACGATTTAAGGAGGAAAAAGCTTTTTGTGAGTTCAAAACATATTTAGATAATGAAAAAAATTTCGGTACTTTCGATACTGGTACCGAGTTGGTACCGAAAGCGTCGGTACTTTCGGTACGGTACCCATGGTTGGTACCGGACGCTCGGTACCGGTACCGACAACTGCCTATTCGCAACCTCTGACCGCAGTATTCTATCTTAAGAGGGGGCCTCGCGAGCTGTTACAGCGCTTTTTCAGCGAAACCTAGTGGGTTATAGGTTATCAACTATGCTGAATCCGAATATCATAGTGGTACCTGCCCAGGCACCGTGATAAAGAGGGATTTTCTGAAAAATAACAAAAGCTTAGTGCAGCATGATTGTAGCCTGCGAATTTTTGATTAAAATGAGACATTTCCCAGTTCTACACGACCTTTTTTGTGCAAAGTTCTAGAATTTACAAGAAAAGCCCTAAATGTTCACTGTCAGCTCAAAGGCTGGTAGATGTCTCATTTTAATCAGAAATTTGCGGACTACAATCATACCTCATTAAGAAAGGTTTTGATTATGTTTTAGAGTTTCCTTTAGTCCACCTTATTTATTTTTTTAGCCCTCCTGTATAAAAAAAAGCTATTCTGAAAGAATAGGCTATGCACCTGTAGCTGTGTTTTAGGACTGTTGGAAGACGCCTGTAACTTTATGACGCAGGATTGCAGAGAGTTGTAGTATATCTAGATTTAACCGGAGAAGTTTGCCTTAGAAGTTGCTTTTACATGTACACATTCAGAAAAGTATGAATCTTCTAGAGAAGTTGTTCCTAAACTATGAAACTTACTTTCACAGGAGCAAGTGGTACGAACTAAAGGTAATTTACATACTCTCGATTGGTATACATATTATTCGGCCATGACTATTCCGAAATAGTTGGTCTGAAATCGATTTTTCCACTCGAGGGCGTTTTTTAGTAGCAGGCAGAATTCAGAATTTTTTTACAACTAAATCCTTGTTCCATGAATAATTAATACCGAGTGATTAATGTCTGTTCCTTTTTACGGACGTTTTTAGAAAAAAATCATGTTTTCGTAAAATCGCTCTTACTGATTCATGAGAAAAACTTACGCTGAGTAGTTTGTAGATCCAAAACTTATTATTTTATGCATGATTCGATGCAACTAGACCGGTCGATTTCGAAAATAGCTTTATTTTTTCTTAAAAGTGTTCCTGGACTAAGAGAAATAGATTTTAATCAAAAACCTACAGTGTACATAGCAAATCTGGTTATTTTTCAGCAGGGTGGTTTGGGACAAATACGACTCACGAGTCATCAGAATAAATGACCGTTCTGATGACTTACTAGCCCGAAAAGATTTGAGATTAAGTAGAAGCAACTTAACAATAACAGAAATTGTAAAAGCCGACTCACAAGCTGCCTTGTAGTAGATATTAATAACATAAGAATTTCTGGTACTGCTTATGTTTTTCTTACGAACCTCTTATGAAAATATTATCAGATTCTTAAAAGACACTTACGACTGTAGATGGGAAATCTTAAACAATCTTATGTAAGCTCCTTATAAGAATCCTATGAGTTTTATCAAAACGTTTTTGTATAGGGGATTCATAATCTATGTCGTATTTGTTGTGTACTTCGTTGGTTTTAATGAAAACTGCTTTGACCGCACCCCAATGTGTTTTTAGGCTAATTTTTGACAAAGTATTTTCTGATGATCCTTAGCAGTTAAAACAAAACTTCTTTTGTTGATAGATGAGCCATATATTGAAGCATAGTTTCTTTACCTCAATCCGAAAACACAGCACTTTGATTCTTTTGCTTAATGTCAACCTAGATGTCGAGACCTGCAACCCGACCAGATCCTAGGGTCGGTTTGAATTGAACATTGTGCGGCGCAATTTAAAATATAGATAATAATTTCAGTTTTGTATTAATCGTTGAAAAGTTAACTCTACTTGAGTTTTCAGTTGAAATACTTATTTCAGAACAACTGCATTCGCTAACGAGATAAGGTCTTCAGATGCCCAACTCCGTTTTTAATGATATTATGCCAGTTAATAGAGGAAAGTGAGGAGATAAAAACCCTCAAAAGAGGACTCAGATCAGTTCTTTCAAAAGTTATGGATTTTTTTGTTCTAAACGAACACTGTGTGTAGTAACAGTAATAATTCTATAACCCAGTCAGAACAAAGAATTAAGAAGTGAAATTATCTTTTGTACTTTCGCTAATAGTCTGCTGATATTACAGAAAATTTGAGCGTTATATTTTCCTAAATTCACTTGCCATTGAACTTTTCTTCCTAAAGGAAAACAATGTTTTTCCAAATCGCACAATTTTCAATGATAACATTTCTCTTCTATTAGAGGTGATATTGAGAATTTAGAAAGATATAACGTTCAGATTTTCTCAAATATTAGTAGAGTATTAGCAAAAGGTCACTCACCTGAAATGCGATGCCCTCCGCTAAATAAATAAATAGGTAAATAAAACGACATAAACTAAAAAACAAAACAAAAGAGTAAAAATTTATCCGGTCTGATCGGGTTTGGGTGAAGTTGTTGTCGGTTCGGGTTACATTTTCTTAACCAGTGCAGGTCTCTACCTAGATGCACACTCTATCGTGGGCGGAGGCTTAAAAGAATAAATTTTGAGTTAGTGTAGTAGAAGTCATAACTAGGCTCCGATATGATACTTCTGTTTCTGCTCGTTTTTTATAGAAATTTAGGTTGCGTCAGATAGTGGGATTTCTTCATTAATTTAGCCAATGTTCATTTTAGTTTCCGTTATTATCTGAGAAAAAGCACAATGTATAGAATCTCTATTAACAATTGTCTCTTATTATTAATATTCCTTGTAACGATCGTCTTAGCCAATGTCAAAGCACAGTTTCCAGCAGAACAATTAGATGAACCATTGATGGATTATAAACGTTTAGGAAAGTATTGTTACATACATAATTTCGAATTATGGAATAATCGACAAAAAGAATTAACAATATGGGTGAAATTGTCCAAATTAATGAAATTAAATTTAAACGATCATCCAGAAATTCAAAAAGAAATGGAACAGTACCGACTTCAGTATGAATGTTTAAAAATTCTCGAACGAATGCCTATAGCCATTGGGCCCGGAAGGTAGATACAATAGTGGTACTTGCTTTTTTTGTACTTATTCTTTATTTGTATTATTTGTTAATACACAATCGGAATACGATTCTTCACAAGTAAGGTTGAATAAAAAACATATTACGCATAATAAACTATGCCGTATTAAAATTTTTCTCATTTAATTTTTTACTACTGGATTTCACCTTTACTATGTAGAAGGGTATTAAGCGTTAAAGTACAATGAAGTCTATTGGAATAAGACAACACTGCGAAGTTGCCTGATAGTGCGGACAGTTTCAAGCCGGACTTTCACCTCATTCTTTTGTTCTTCTCACCAAATATGCACCGGTTTCGCTAAAAAAGCGAAAAACAGATTCCAATAATACCAAAACTGATAAAACGACTTGCGACAAATACTAAAACGGAAAATTTTTGCTACTATACCAAAACATTTTCTGCTCTATAACAGGTCGAATTTTTTGTAAGAGCAGCACTTAAGAGAGATTTGTTTATATAATTTCCATAAGGGTAAAAGAAGGCGAAAGAGGAAGAGAGAATGTGAAATTGCTTACGTACACTGAATTTGGAGATCACTAGGATGAGGAGTTATGGAATTTATCATTGGTTGACTAATTTGCAGTAACTGCACCTTAGTTAAGTTTGTTGCTGATTGAGCCACTAATGATGAACTTCTTTGCCATCTTACCTTTTAGAGTCCGCCATGAATTACTTTCTTATTTTCATACTTACTGCAGAAATTTGAATGATTTTTCATTGTATGAGGGTGTTTCCATTTAGGTTCGTCCACCATTACATGACACAAAAGTCGTGAAAACGTTGATACTCTGTTCGTGCAGGGCATAGAATTTACATAAAAGACACCAACTCCTCAGTGCGAAGGTCATATTCTATATGAGCATTCTATATGTAAGCTCTGTCGACGCAGAAAAAAACAAGATCAAAGTTGCTCCACTAGAGAGAAGGTCGAAACTTGACATCCATAAAAAGGCATATAGAATATGACTTTCACATGCATTATGATAAACGCTTTATTGAAATTATTGGAGATGTTAAAGCAGTTAGGTATAAATCATTCTCGTATGAATAATTTGATTGATCATATATCTGTTCAAGAAATATAAGTTATGTTGGAAAATGTTGTTGAATCAACGTGGAAGGCAAAATGTATATGGAAGGCAAAATGTATATAAATATTTTGCATATTCTGTTTATAACCAACAGATATGAAAATGTGTTCGCTTACTCGTATTTTCTATCATGATCTCATGTGGACACAATATTTAACACAAACGCTTCCAGCATAACCGTTCCTGTCATGTTTCATCACACCTTGTAGCGCTGAATATATCGAAAAGGTACTAGACTATGTAAAATTAGAATTTCATGATTTTTCTTCCTTCTGCGTAGAAATCTAGCTATTAAATATTTGTAAAAGCAAGTGGCTAGCGGCGACCGATAGAAGGCGCGAGTCTCATTCCATTGCATTACATGTAGTACATTCCAAAACCAAATGAATGGTGAACCGTATTGTTAAAATGAAATGTCTCCAATGATCATTATCAGAGAAGTAGTGCTGCCTTAGTATCTGATCTCCAAGTTATTAGTTTCTAGAACAGTCAGTCGCTTAATAATAACATCGTCCCATACGTATAATAACAAGGCATCGGCATCTTTCCTAAAAAGCTGATATTCACTTGTCTGAAGATCAGAATTATCGGACGTATCGTCCAACTATGCTTCAGTTATTACGACAAGAACAGGTTTATCAGACTGAATGTGATTAACTACTAGATCAAAAATCAGTCATCGTATAGGAAAACAAAAACAAAAAGTGTAATAAACTACACACATACCAAAGTCAAGATAAGACTGAAAAGATGCGTAACAGTTTGAACAGCAGTCGCATCTTTTGCATTATATCAAACATGACCAATTAATGTATACATATTTGTTTTACCTAATATATTTTTGTATGTATTTAAATAAATCCATATTATATTTTGTTAAAACTTCAACCACCAGAACAGATGTATATTTAGCAACATTTTTTAATTTTTCTTATTCTTAAATGTATGCTTACGACCATCATATCGAATTAGACGAAACATAACGGGGTGATTTCAGCTACCCTTTGGTTTTCCAAGATATTGAGATGTACTTATATCTGACAGTTTCACATCAAAATTAATTGATTGATACATATTTAACAATTATATCTGTTGCATTTTCATCTTTATTTTCAGGTATACGATAAACTAAGATATTTAGTCGTCAATTATATTGTTCTAAATCGTTATGACGGGTTCTTATGCTATCGATTTGTGCTAGATGCTCATATAACGTTTTATTTATTCTATTTGATTTATTTTCAAATTGTTCTTTGATCTAATTAACAATAACTTGGATAAATGAAGGGTTATTTAATATGTTCTTAAGCATTTACGTTAATTTCAGGTCAATATCTAAACTCATTGACGTAATTGAACCTGAATCAGATATTTTATTACGTTGTTTAATAGCTATATTTTGAGGATCAGAAGTAAAACTAGTCGGCAATCATGTCAGCGAGAGTTGCGAATGCGGTGCGAAGCAGCTAAATATGCTCTCAGTTACAACTAAGCTTTAACCTTCAACACAGCCTAGAGATTTTATCTTACATATTGCGTTAATTATCTTTAAAATAGTAATACATTTAGAGGCTAGGCATTGCGTTATAATTATTCTCGAAATACATACAAAAACATTGTGATTAAATGAATCAGATAGTACGGGAACGTAATCTATTATAAATGCACCTGCACATGAATGACGCAGATTAATTATCATTTTGTTCTGAAAAAAAAATTACAAGTCTCAGACGTTCAAATTACGTACTTTTAAACGTTCTAACTCTTCACTGGAACATCTGCAAAGACTGAAAATAGCTTATTTATTCATTCAGACATACAGTTCCCTATGCGCGTTTAAAATTTTACTGTACTCCTTCTAGTTCCCGAGAAAGTCGTTACAGAAAATGACACTTTTTCGATCTAGAAAGAAAAGACGCAGTTTGGTACTAGAATGTGGTATTGCTTCGTACCGCATTAATGAGACATTCCACACGCGGCTGTGTTCTTCCAGTGTTAATCACGTCTTATCGTGCCAGGATAAAAAGAGAAAATGAAAACTCAAGTTTTCAAGCCTAAATGTTTATCCTAACATAGTCTACGGAAGAGTAACATTTCGTATTTGATCAAAATTCGCGGCTTGTGTCGAAAATAGATTTCTCACAGAGCGGGAGATGACAATTCTTAACCCTTTGGGGACGGGTGACGTTTTAAAACGTCATTAAAACGTCAAAAATCGGAATAAGTCGTGTTTTCCAAAACTTTCTTTTGAAGAAACGTCTCTCAAAACTAGATCATAATCAAATTTCA